AATATGCTTCTTGTTAGCTGGCCAAAATCTAGCAATAGACAAGTAGTTAGTTCCTAATTATGCATTAAAAAACTCTGATATTTCTATCCAGATTTGCTTGGCCACCACACATTCAAAGAATAGGTGTGTAATGGACTCTTTTTCAGAGCAGTATACACATTCTAGGGCTTTTTCTATGCCTCTTTTGGCCAGGTTGTCTTTCGTCATCAGCTTGTTGTGGGAGAGTAGCCACAAAAACACCTGGACTCTGGGTGGGGTTTTTATTGACCACACCGCTGGTATATACACATGATGGACCCCCCCTAAAGTTGATGATACTATAAAGTGAACTAGTGGTGTATTTCCCTTTGGCTTCATATTGCCAAATGAGAGAGTCACCCTCCTCCCGAAGCAGGGTACTCCTAATGATTTGCTCTAGGGCATACCAATGCTCCATCATAGTAGGTGTGAAAATCCTCCTAAAGGTGAGTTTAATCTCATAGTTGTCCCAGATCTCAGCTATCGTAGAGCATTGTTGGTGACAGATGGTGTAAAGTGGCCAGAATTGGACTGAGAGGGGAGATGTACCAAACCAGATGTCTTCCTAGAATCTGATTTTCTGTCCATCTCCAACCACCCATTTATATCCAAATTTCAAAGCCTTAGCAGCCCACATGACCCCTTGCCAAAATCTGGAAGGGTTTTGGGGTTTACTAGCAAAGATATTAGGGAAGTTGTGGATGTATTTCTTGTCCACTATTTGTTTCCAAAGCTTGCCTTCATCTTTGATGTATCTACTTACCTAGCTCCCAAGGAGACAAAGGTTAACATCTTTGATGTTAGGCACCCCTAAACCCCCATGTTTCTTCCCCATAAAAACTAGGTGCCAGTTGGCCAGGTGAATTTTTCTATTTCCTTCAAAGTCATTCCACAAACAATTGGCCATCTGACTGTTGATCATATCTAGAGCCCATTTTGGAAATTTGAAAAAAGAAAGGAGGTATATGGGAATGCTAGCCACGCAGGTTTTAATCAAAGTCAGCCTAGCAGCATAGGAGAGGAGTTTGCCTCTCCAGCCAGACATCCTTTTGAGAATTTTGTCTATCAGGGGTTGTATATCCTCCCTCCTAAGTTTATCATAGTGTAAAGGAATTCCCAAATATTTTATTGGGAAAGCCCCTACTCTACATCCTAATATATCTGCAAAGGATTTAGTTTCTTCACAAGAAAGTTCTATTGGGATGATCTCACTCTTTGAGTAGTTGATTCTCATGCCTGAAACTTTCTCAAAGTAGGTGAGGACCATCTTCATGTTCTTAGTTTTTTTTCATCCTTCTCCATGAAAAGGATGGTGTCATCTGCATATTGTAAGCAGATGACCCCATTGGGAATTAACTCAAAACATAGACCACTAATCAGCTTATCAGAAGCTGCCTTGGAGAGCATATTGCTCAGAACATCTACTACCAAGTTAAAGAGAAGGGGGGACAAGGGGTCTCCCTGTCTCAGGCCTTTTCCTGTAAGGAAGTAGTTGCCTTCTATTCCATTAATTTTCACTCCAACCGATCACACGTGTGTGACCTGTTTGATCCAAGTCACCCAAAAGCGATTGAAGTTTCTTTTTCCTAGGATTTCAATAAGAAAGTCTAGGTTAACTTTGTCAAAAGCTTTCTCATAGTCTAGTTTTAATACTAGACCTGGGTTGCTAGATTTAGCAGTGGAGTGCAGCACCTCATGTGCTGTGACTACACTCTCCAGGATAAATCTCCCTTTTATGAAAGCTGATTGCTTACTAGATGTAAGTCTATTCATCAGCATAGCTAATCTATTTGTAAGTACTTTGGTAAACACCTTAAAGATACAATTGATCAAACTAATGGGCCTAAACTTTTTCATGCTGGTAGCCTCTTTCTCCTTTGGGATCAGGGTCAACACAGCAAAGTTTAACCTATAGATGTCCAATTCCCCTTTATGGAAATCATCAAACATGGCTATCGCATCTTTCTTAATCACTTCCCAAAAAATTTGGAGGAATATAAAGGATAGACCATCTGGACCAGGGGCTCCATCAGAGTATGAACCAAAGATGGCCTCCTTAATTTCTCCTTCAGAGAAAGTTTTTTGTAGGGATTGCTTTTCTAAGTCATTGACCTTTTCTTCAGCAGCAAAGAAATTATTATTGATTCTAAAACCCTTTCTATCTTCTTTCTTAAAGAGGTCTTTATAGTAGTCTGTGTCTATACCCAACATGTCTTTGACATCTGTGGTAGTGCCAGCAGGACCTTCCAGCTTGTTAATAAGTGTTTTTCTCCTCCTTTAATTTGCTACAACCTGAAAATACCTAGTGTTTCTATCTCCTTCAAGGATATCCCTATCCCTGGATCTTTGTCTAGCTTTAACTTCTTCTACAATCCAAAGGTTATGGAGTCTGGAGAGGAGTTCTTTCATTCTCAAATTTTCTACCTCAGAAAGCTGCACAGTTTCTGATTTAATATCAAGTTTATCATACTCTTCTTCTAACTCCTGCTTGGCTTTCCTAATCTCAGCATCTACATTTCTATCCATCCTCTACTAAACTTTCTAAACCTTCTCACTTTTTCCTGCCAGATGTCCATGGGGGTGGTACATTTGACAGGAGCAAACCAATTTTTCTCCACAAGCTCTTTAAATTCAGCTCTTAGTAGCCACCATTTCTCAAACTTATAGCTTGAGTCTTTTGGGGTACCATCCACACCAGAATCCCACAGGATAGGGGTGTGATCACTACCAGTTCTAGGGAGAGCTTGAGAACTACTTAAAGGAAACATTGCATCTAGTTCAGTGGTACAAAAAACCCTATCTATGGTACTCATAACCAAGTTATCTTGATTATTTGCCCAGGTGAATTGTCTCCCAGACATCTTAATTTCTAGTAGACTCCAAATTTCTATCCAAGCATTGAATTTGTCACTCCAACTATGGTTAATCCTCCCATTGTTCTTATCTTTCTGATATCTAACTAAATTGAAGTCCCCCCCCCCTATAATAGTGGGTGGGTGGTCATCAATGAACATACTATGATGTTCAGAGATGAATTCATCCTTGCCCTCCTCATATGGTGATCCATAGACTGCTATGAACCTAAAGGTTTTTTCACTTGTCTTATGCACTAGATTGCATGAGACAGAGTATTTGAGGGATTTCCAGCTAATAACATCAAAATTAACCAAATCAACTCCTACCAACACACCACCCGAAGTGCCTTCAGCAGGTAGGTGGTGCCAACTATAAGGTTTATCACCACTAATAGATTTTAAAAACGAAGCAGAGAGTTTCTCTTTCTTTGTCTCCTGAAAAGCTACTATACTAGCTTTATGCTTAGCTAGAGTTTCAATAATGCAAGGTTTTTTTCCTGGGGTTGTAATCCCTCTAATATCCCAAAACAAAGCATTCATTGAAAACTGTGTTTCTTAGGGTACTTGCCCCGTCCTTTTTTGGAGACCAGGCTCCACAAAGCACTTTGGTCCAAGTGCTCGGATGGGATCACCTATCTATGGTACTCATAACCAAGATAACTCCCATGCCCCGTCCTTTCTTAGGGTGCTTAATAAGGGCAGTACCCAAGTACCGATTCACCCACATATCAAATTATCAAAGTACCGAACGCGAATTATATGAACGTGATGAAAACTAGCTCGACGATAATTCCCATGTGTCCTCGGGAGCTCCTTTCTCATTATTAGAAATTGTCCAGGCTTATCCTTTGTTACATAAAGGATTGGGCCACCTTGCTGCACTTTATTTACTTTGTTTACTTGTTACTCGTTACTATTTATCTTATCACAAAACTATCTATCACCTACAATTTCAGTGCTTGTAGAAAACCTTACTGAAAACCGCTTATCATTTCCTTCTGCTCCTCGTTGGGTTCGACACTCTTACTTATCGAAAGGACTACGATAGATCCCCTACACTTGTGGGTCATCACCAGGCAGGTCGGCGATAGATTTGTGCATCCTGCCACCAGGATCACTGGTGGTAGGCTTGCACTGACTACCGCAAAATTCTTCCCCTCCCAAGGCACAATACGGTTCTGGGGGTTTATGGGGTTTACATTCCCTCCCTACTGCCAGCGGCGGTGTCGGTAGCTTTTACCTACCTATCGCCGGCCTCTCTGGTCATAAGACAGGAGATGACGGCCATGCCTTAACATACCACTATCTACAGAAAAAAGGTCAGACCTTGAATTTTTTTCAAACCAGAGTCAGATCAAAAGGGTCAAAACATCAAATTTGGCATCCAAGGAGGACCTCGCGACAGAGACGTCATGGGCATTTCCAGGATGCGGCTAGCGTTTGTTTGTTGCACTGACGCCGGCACGGAGCGGAGAGAGAGACCTTGGACCGGTTTGAGGACTCCCGTCGTCGCCGTGATGAACGTCTGACAGCAAGCGAGCCAGTTGCCATCGGACATGGATTGAGCGATGGATGGACGAGACGTGGATCCGTCGCGCGCATGTACTAGTATGTGCCGATTCGTTGCGACTTGCCGCTGCTGCCTGCTAGACTGGTGCTGGTACTACGGCGGCGGCCGACTAGCCGATGACGCTGCGGCGCGGCGCGAGAGAGTGATGGGCTACTCGCTACCGGTGTGGCCGATAGAATGGTACGCCCCTACCGCCTCGTTCCGCACACCTCCCTCCTCCTCCTCTACCCCTCTCTCTCTCTCTCGGACTCATAAAATCGGGAGACCTTTTCCTCCCTCCCTCCATCGTCTCGTCTCGTCTCGTCCTACTCACACTCCACCTCCCCTCTCTCCCTCTCCCTCCCTCCCTCGCCGCGCCGTGCTCCCTCCACTCCATCCCATCGCCCCAGGGCGCACACGGGATCGCGCGCAGATCTGCGCCCCCAATCCCACGCGCTCGCTTCCCACTCCCCGCCTCCCCGCGGCGGCCTGGCTGGCTTAATTTCGCTACCAATGCGCTCTGGGTAGGGCATGAGAGGCACTGGCGGCGGCTTGCCGGCGGACCAATTCACACCCGGATGGAGCTCAGCGTCGCCGCCGCAGCCGTGGAGCTCGGCAAGCGGGGCCGCCCCGACGACCAGTACCAGGAGCAGGACCAGGACCACGGGGATGCCAAGCGGCTGGCGCTCGTGCCGTGGCCGCCGCACCAGCAGCACCCCTCCTCGCGGATCTACCGCGTCTCGCGCGGCTCCGGCGGCAAGGACCGCCACAGCAAGGTCTACACGGCCAAGGGCATCCGCGACCGCCGCGTCCGCCTCTCCGTCGCCACCGCCATCCAGTTCTACGACCTGCAGGATCGCCTTGGCTATGACCAGCCCAGCAAGGCCGTCGAGTGGCTCATCAAGGCTGCCGCCGCCGCAATCGACAAGCTCCCCGAGCTCGACGCCGCCGCCTTCCCCAACCACCCGGCCTCAGCCTCAGCCTCAGCCAACAAACAGTCTTCTGCTCTTCACGCGGAGGCCGACGACTCGCAGCCCCAGCAGCTCACCAGATCGGGCTGCAGCAGCACGTCCGAGACCAGCAAGGGCTCCGTCCTCTCGCTTTCTCGCTCCGACAGCCGCGTCAAGGCTAGGGAGCGCGCGCGCGACCGGAGCGCCTCTGTGAAGGACAAGGACGACTCGGTCACCGCCGCCGTGCACCGCCGGCCCCCCTCGGCGCAGGCGGCTTCCTTCACCGAGCTGCTCACTGGATTGGCGGCCGCCACCCCAGCTGTTGCTCAGCACAAGCAGCACAACTCGTGGCAGCAGATGACCGCGTCTGCCACCGCGGACTACCTCGGCTTCGCCCAGCCCCGGAAATCCGGGCACGGGATGCTGCACACCTTCGCCTCCCCGGCCCCGCACCTGGGCAACATTGCGCCCGTCTCCATGGCCCCGGCGCAGCACTTCAGCTTATCAGCCGGCGGCGGCGATTCGCAGACGGAGATGCCGCACTTCTCCTTCTCGCAAGACCACTACATGCCCGTCCATGCGGCGCCAGCGTCGGGTCCGGCAGTAGACTACAGTCTCAACTTCTCCATGTCCTCGGGTCTTGTGGGTGTCAACAACACTAGGGGGACCCTTCAGTCCAATTCGCAGCCGCACCTCTCCGGCCACCACCACCACCACCACCACCACCAGCAGCTCCAGAGGCTGTCTACTCCACTGGATGCTCCGCACATACCCTTCTTGTTCAGCCCAGCCGTCGCGGTGGCCTCCCCCACCACAGCGGAGAGCCACTTCGGCGCGGCGGCCGCATTGCAGCTCTGGGAGGGGTTCCGGCACTCCGACATGAAGGAGAAGGGCAAGAACTGATCAATGGCTGTGCGCTTCTTTTGGATGCTGGTAGGTGATGAACTCTTCCAAATGCATACGCTTCCTTTGCTTTTTGGCTGCTTGTGTTTTCAGGCATTTGTTTAAGGGTGGGATGCTTGCCCATTGGCTAATTTGATATGATTATCTCACCCTTTTGGTGGTTCTCGAGGTGGCCTTGCGCCCCTAAATCCCATAAAACACTCGGCCTGTTCTTGTGCAATTGACGAGTGTCAAAGCTTTAGGGGGAGGGAGCATTAGGCTGAACTTTCCAACAGGTGTCAATTCACTACTCACTGGAGAGGGATATGTTTTGGTGTTCTGTTCCCCCCCAACCATTATGTCACAGGGGACAGGCCAATCGCACGGTTTCTGGTTACCCGGCATTGCATTTTTAATGCCTTAAATTGTAGTAAGCCCAGGCTACGTTGTTCTAGTATTGCATGAAGGGGGTCAGCTATATGAACAAATGCACTAGTAACAGCAAATACCGAATGGATAAAATATCTAGATAAAGATTTGTCATGTAGTCTAAAAGCATTTCCTGAAGGGCTTTTACTAGGTTTAATTGTTTAGGGGTAAGTAGAGGCGCAGTCCAGAATTTCTTTGTAGATGTTTTTTTTCTTCTTATTCAGAAGACATTGAAATGTCTTCAGCAGAGCTGAGTATTCAACCGTAACGAAAGTGAATTCATGTGCATATCATGACTGATATTTTCCTTAAAACTGGGTTTGTACATCTTAAAGTGAAACTGCAATATTTCATCGAACTTCTTATTTATTAAGTGAAATGCTTTGAAACTTAACTTGAAGAGTATAACTATTTCCTTTTGTCGAGAACTTGTAGACCCAATTATCCCTCATTTGTCCGTGTCCGCAGCTGCCCCCCTCATATCAGAACCCCCAAATCAACATAGCATAGTTCATAGATCGGGGGGCCACACGGATTGTGAGCTCCTCGTACGACTCCGTCGCGAGGGCGTCCCAATCCACGGGGTCATCGGCAAATGAGGAGCCGCTGCCGGATCCGGCCAAATTCCAGCGAGGGAAGTGGAGCGGACGAGGGATTGTGAGGAGAGTGGAAGTGTTTAATGGCTAGGGTTTGGTCCAGTTGGAGTTTTAGTGGGGTCGGGGTGGGCGATTCTGAGTGGGCTGGATCCTAAGGATGGTTAAAGAGTTTCTGTGCATTGGAAAGAGCCATAGAAAGGAGGCAAACTACATTATGCATTTCCTGATCTGTGGTAAATAGGAGATACTCCCTCTGTTTACAAATGTAAGATGTTCTAACTTTTTTCTGAACCGGATGTATATAGACACGTTTTAGTGTGTTTGTTCACTCATGAGTCCGTATATAGTCATATTGAAATATCCAAAACATCTTATGTTTGTGAACAGAGGGAGTAGTTTTTTGGTCTTGTTGCTAGGTCTAACTTTTAGGTATTCGCTCAAAATTATCTCAGCGTGTGGTATACATAGACCAATCAATAAGACATTTATCTTATCGAAGGACAAACCATACAGCATAATCTTCTCAAACTCCAGCTTTTCAAGACAGTACTAACTACAGAAAGTCAATTATTGATATGAACATGCGGTCAAAATTTGATTACTCTTCGAACGGTTCACTGTGAATCTCCAAGTGCTAATCCTGGAGTACTTAAAATTACACTAATTATGGCAAAACCACATTCTGACATAATAGAACATCATTCACACCGTTTATATTTGTGTCACATGATTCATGGAGTCTTACCTTATTTTTGCAGTGCCTTGTTTACATAGTATTATGTATGTAATCAGTCCTTTTATCTGTTGAATAAGCCATCATAACTCTTCAGCCTATTGCTTTGTGAAATGTATCATACTTGTGTTAAAACTCTTTAGTATGATAAATAAATCCAGAGATATGAGTGATTAGGTCCTAAGCGCTTTTAAAAACCTCTTAAGTGAGCTAGCATAACTTGGTTGTTTACTCCATTCATTTGCCATCAATAGCCTTTTGCATTTTAGCTCATATATGTACATAAATAGCATAGTGAACGGTAACAAATATGTCCATAGTAATCTTTTGCATGGCTAGCACGGTAGTGCCTGTTAGCCTTTTGAATTTTACCTCAGATATGTACATAAATAACATCTGAACAGCAACCAACATGTTCATAGTAACCTTCATAGTTGCAGCTTGGCATTGTTAGAATCTGCTATGAGATTCATAATGCGATATAGTAGAGGATATCATTGTAAACTGTCAAGATTATTTCGTTGTTATAGAAGTTTCTCGTAACTTGCTTTTTCCCTCCAGTTCTGCATCAAGTACCATGTTTCACATATGCGTGCTGTACTGCTGTGATATACTCCCTCCGTTCCTAAATATAAGTCTTTGTAGAGATTTCACTATGAACCACATACGGATGTATAAAGATGCATTTTAAGTGTAGATTCATTCATCTTGCTTCGTATGTAGTCCACCTAGTGGAATCACTAGAAAGACTTATATTTCGGAACGGAGGGAGTACATGGAAATGTGATAAATGCCACTGCAAATTAATCATGCTGTCACAAAAGGTCGAGTTAATCATTTTATAGCAGAGCCCTCATATTTAATGTTCGCCTTTATTGATGCTGTATAAAATTCTAATGGAAGCTACTACCTCCGTCCGGGTTTATTGGGCCCCCTTGTATTTTGAGCCAGACTTTGACCATCTATATGACTAACAAAATATAAATTATATGTTACAAAAAGTACACCATTGGATTTGTACTCCCTCCGTTTCTTTTTAGTCCGCATATAAGATTTGGTCAAAGTCAAACTTTATAAAGTTTGACTAACTTTATAGAAAAAAATATTAACATCTACAATACTAAAGTTATATGTTATGAAAATTAATTTCATCATGCATCTAATATTATTGATTTCATAGTGTGGATGTTGATATCTTTTCCTACAAAGCTAGTCAAATTTTACAAAGTTTGACTTTGACCAAATCTTATATGCAAACTAAAAAAAACGGAGGGGGTATTTGAAAGAGCTTTCCCATGGTACTCCCTCTAAAGAAATATAAGAGCATTTAGATCACTACTTTAGTGATCTAAACACTCTTATATTTGTTTACGGAGGGAGTATAATTTTTGTGACATATAGTTTACATTTCATTAATTAAACTTATAGGTCAAACTTTAGTACAAAATAAGAGGGGGCCTAATAAACCGGACGGAGGGAGTAGACCTTTAGATCTGATTGAATTTGGTTTCCCCTTCCTTATTTCTAGAAAAGCTCTCCTCCACCTGGAAACATTCTGAGCATTTAAAATGATCTTACCTAAGGACTTGTTTATCTTGCCTTGAAATTAGGCTTATCAAGAAACTAGGGGTAATCAGCTTAAAGGTTGCTCATTTTCTTAGCTTAGTTAACTACAACTTAGGTCCCATTTCTACATAAGATATGCATAGTGGGTGGGTTAACGCGGTGTACTTGCTGGAACTAGAATCTGTTGTCCCCAAGATCTTTAAAGCTGTTGTTCACCACGTTCCTCTGGGGCTCCCATAACATATTAGACAATATGGTAGTCCAATGCTGTTTTGAAGTATATATTGGCATGATGCTGAAAATGGACCTGACAGGTGAAGTTTTATCTTCTGTCCTGGTAGTATAATCCAAAGAAGATACTCCCTCCGTCCCAAAATGTAAGACCATTTTTTGACACTATGATGGTCTTACATTTTGGGACAGAGGGAGTATGTTTTACTCACCAATATAAATGCCTAACTGTGCTGCTATTGTTTTTTTTATTGATGCTCCTAAAATTGTTTTGGTGCTCTTCTACCAAGATTGACCAAATGAGTGTTCTGCTAAAGTAAAAGTCATATAGACTGAAATATCATAGGTCAGCCTTTGTATGCCTGTCAGTACTGCAAACTATTTGAGTGAAAGATCTGAAAATATATAGCACAACGTATGTCCACAGTTGTGATGATGATAGATGCAAGTCTTGGCCTTTTCATTACATAATTTGTGTTCTTTTGAGCTTACATTGTGTAGCATCTCTACTGTAGATTTATAAGTAGCTTTCTCCTTTATCTGATTGAAATCATAATTGTTTGACAGGAAGTGAAGACGACCAATCATCTCCCTATTTTCCTGTGAGCTCCATTCATGGCAAGGGGGATGATTCCCTGCGCTCTTAGAAGCAGACCATCATTTGGACATCTACCATGGTCATTGAAGAACCTCATCATCGTTACTCAGATGATCGTGTGCTTTCTTTTTACTCCATGTTGTTGTATTAATCTTGTTTGTGGAGGTGAGGGTTCCTGAGCAAAAGCTTGCTGGAGTGCCCTTGCCATGCTTTGCATTCTAGAACTTTGTCAACTGATGCACGTGCGCCGCCCTGAATTGGCAGCTCTTTTGACATTGTTGGGATGAGTTATCCCCCGTCAATTTTTCTTGTTCTCCGTTGTATGTTGTGTGACTGAACTCATTGATCCAATCTATAAGATGAACTATGTATGTTGTGTGACCCTCTCTCTACCTTCTGCTGAACTTGGTCAACACTGTGTTGCTGCACTGCTGCAGGCTTCTGTTATGTCAATTTCAGCTTCAAATATGGTTACCATTTGAGTAGCTTGTGAAAATGCAGACGCAAGTTCTGAACAAGACAAATTCTTACTCTTGATTTTCCTCTACGGCATTGAGTTGTTGCTCATGCCTGTGATACTATTGAGGGGCATTTCTATCTTGTTTTTAAGCAAATGTGATGTTTTATGTTTATGCATAACTGGGTAAAAAAATGTGTCAAGTGTCTGGGAAAGAAAGTCTGAATCTTGAGTGAACAGTATATTTTATTTGGGTGCTGTTTGTCGTGGCAGACTGATGATAAAAACAGGTATGCATTTCAACTGAACCTGCCTTCTAGCATGCCTGCAGAAAATCTAATATACTCCCTCCGTTCCAAAATAGATGACTCAACTTTATACTAAAGTTAGTACAAAGTTGAGTCATCTATTTTGGAACGGAGGGAGTAGTAGTGTGCCTTGCTGACCCTGCAGGACACCAAAAATCTGAGGTCTATCCCTCCACTGCCTGCAGAAGCTGGAGAGACGGTCAAGACATCAGCTTTTAACCGTTGAGCAGACTGCAGCTTCAGGCTTGTCCATACTTTGGGCAAAACAAATGTTCTGAAGGTAATTTATTTCTATCTTATCACAGTAAGTTGGCAATAAGAAGCAAGAAAAAGAAGATTGAAAGCTTAGTGCATATATTTATTGTACTATAACCGATAATGTTAGTATGCTGTTTGCAGTATGTACAGTACACTGCTATCGCTACGGTATCAGTCTTAGGCGCGAGTGGTCCGTTTAACGACTGTCAGAGCAGAACCTATCGGCCTATCTGGGGTGTTCCGTAGAAGGAGCGCCTTGAATTATCTGTCTTCTTTGGAACAGCAACTGCTGAAGTAGGAATATACAACTTCAAATGCTTCAGCCAGTGGTTAATCTAGGTCAGAAAGATAGATGTCCTGTCCCATCCCGAAGCTCAGGCATACACTAGACGGGTCTTTAGCTATGTATTTGGCTAATCCGTGGTTCCTTCCTTGATAGATGAGTGGTAAAAGCCTGAAGATATTTGCCTGGCAAGCAACAAGATACGCTTCATGTGAGCATATTTTTTCTTCCACCTAATAGCAACTACTATCTGATTACAGAACAAAAAATATAAGGATGGGAGCTGGGCTGCTTGTTGAGCTCCTTAACAAAATCATACCTCTAAAGCCCGAAGGAAGAATCATCTTTGGTAGGTGACTCCGATGCTGGAGATGAGAATGAATCAAAAGAAGAGGCCCTAGCATCAATCAACATGGATATCACTTCTCGCATGCTAGGCCTATCCAATGGTGATTCACTGGTGCAGAACAATGCAATCTTCACCACCAGAGTCATTTCTTCTACAACCCTCTTTGAGTTCAGATCGAGTCTGCTGTCAAAAACTTGAGAATTTGGTGTCATGCTGTTCATTGTCCGCCTTACCAAATTCACAAGATCTCCTCCTTTCTCAAGAGGCTGAATTGCACATTGCCCAGTCACTAGTTCCAACAAAACCACCCCAAAACTATAAATATCACACTTTTCAGTCACCTTCATGGTGAAAGCATACTCTGCATCACAAGAAGCACATAATTAGAAGCCATAAACTGCATAAGTGTAATTCCTAGCGCAATGATTCAGTAAATAAACCGAACCTGGGGCAATGTAACCGTATGAACCGGCTACAGCGGACATTGTCCTGCTGTTGGAAATGTCGATGATTTTTGCCAAACCAAAGTCTCCCACATGAGCCTCCATCATCTCATCGAGCAGTATGTTATTGGACTTAATGTCACGGTGAATCACCTTTGGCTTGCAATCGCTGTGAAGGTAGCGTAGGCCTTCAGCAGCCCCGAAGGCGATCCGGTACCGTGTGTCCCAGTCCAGGAGGTATGCGTCCTTGGTCCCATGAAGCAACTCTCCAAGGCTACCATTTTCCATGTACTCATACAGTATAAGATTGGAGTCCTGGTTGGAGCAGAAACCATAGAGCTTGACAATGTTGCGGTGCCTGACATTTCCAAGGGTAGTTATCTCGGCGCGGAAGCTTCTGTCGACACTGGAACCTTCTCCTTGACATCTGAGCTTTTTCACTGCAACTCGCCGACCATCAGGCATGACAGCCTTGTAGACTGTGCCAGAAGCACCCCTTCCAATCACAGCACTCTCCGAGAAGCTCCCGGTGGCTTTCAAAAGCTCCTGATAGGTTATACGCTCCTTAAGAAAGTAGTGAGGACCAGAGAACCCAGTCTTGCGCTCTTCATTTGATACAAGCTTGGGCATGTTGGACTTTAAGAGCCAGCAGACGAGTGCAATCAGCACCAATGAAACCAATATGACGACGATGGAGGCAACGCTGATGATCTTCTCTCTAAGAAACCGCTTCTTGCGCGCTGCTGCTTCACTGCTTGCGTAGGCTGAATTTACTGGACAAGCTTTTCCTTTGATGCCGCAGAGGCCATTGTTCCCAAGGAAGTTGCTGCTGTCGAGGTGCTGGAACAGCAGGGTGCTGGGAAGCGACCCAACAAGATTATTGTAAGAAAGGTTGCACTCCATAAGGCTTGAGAGTTCAGTGAATGAGGAAGGAACCTCCCCTTGAAGATCATTGTTGTTCAAGAAGAGGTATTCCAGCATTCTCAAGTTCCCTAGCTGAGTTGGGATCTCACCGGATAGCATGTTGTAGCTGAGATTTAGAGCAATCTGGAGGGCATTGAGTTTGCCAAGCTCAACCGGCACTGAGCCGGACAGACGGTTGCCTCCCATCTGCAGCTCCGTGAGCCGGGAAAGGCCTCCAAAACTTGCAGGAATGGTGCCATTCAGACTGTTGTCTGATAGCTTGAGCTGCTCCAGGTTCACCAGTGTGCCGAGCTCCTTAGGAATGAGGCCGGTGAAGGAGTTTCTGCTGAGATCAAGCCTCTGTAGCTTTGTACACCTTGCCAACTCCCGAGGAATCGGTCCGGTGAGCTGGTTGGATGATATATTGAAGGCGACAAGCTCCGTGAGGTTGCCAATGCCAGCGGGGACATGTCCGACGAAGTAATTCCCCGACAGAATCAGCCTCTCTATGCTCCTGAACTTGCCGACCTCAGGCGGTATCGGGCCGGAGAAGCGGTTCTGGTTCATCTCAAGCGCCGACAGGTTCTGCATCGCCGACAGCTCCACGGGCAGGCTCCCCGTCAGCAGGTTAACCCCGAGCCGGAGCTGGGTCAGGGTCTTGCAAGCCTTCACTCCCGGAGGGATGTTGCCGATGAGACGGTTTGACCCCAGGCTCAAGAAGATGAGCTTCTGGTGCCTGCACAGGTGAGGCGGGATGCTCCCCGTCAACCGGTTGTCTGAAAAATCCAGCACCGACAGTGTGCTCCTCGCCCCCAGCAAAGGAGGGATGGCACCATGGATTTGGTTGTCGAACAGCTGCAGGTACTCCAAGCAGGGCAGGTCCTGAAACTCCATCGGAATTGCGCCGGTGAGGTTGTTGATGGACAGGTCTATTCTCCTTATGACACCCAGCTTCCCGAGCTCCCGCGGGATGCTGCCTTGCAGGCGGTTCTCGAAGAGGTGGAGCAGCCGGAGCGTCTGTATCTTGCCGAGCTCGCTGGGGATGACTCCTGTCAGCTTGTTCTCCGACAGGTCAATTTCCACGGCGCTCTGCAGGCTCCCGAGCTCCTTTGGGATGGTGCCGTCCAGGTGGTTCCGGTAAATGTAGAGCTTTACGAGCTTGGGCAGCGCCCCGAGCTCCCTCGGCACGCCGCCGGTGAAGGCGTTGTCGTTCAACGCCAGCATCTCCAGGTTCGTGCAGTTCCCCAGCTCCGGTGGGATCTCGCCGGTCAAGGCGTTCTGCCACAGGATCAACGTGGTGAGGTTCTTGAGCCGGGAGAGCTCGCGGGGCAGCGTCCCGGCGAGTCTGTTCTGCGCGAGCCCGAGCACCTCCAGGCTGCTGCACTCGCTAACCTCGACCAGGATCGGGCCGGAAAGGCCGTTGAGACCCGCGCGGACCACACGCAGCCGCTGCAGCGTGCGGACGGACCCGGGGATCCCGCCGGTGAGGTTGTTGGTGTAGATGACGAGCTCCTCCAGGGCGGTGAGGTTGCCGATGTCGGCAGGGATCTCGCCGGTGAGCAGGTTCTCGCTGAGGAAGAGCCGGCGGAGGGACGGGAGCGCGCAGAGCTCTGGCGGGATGGCGCCGTGGAGGGAGTTGGTGCTGAGGTCGAGCACCTCCAGCGCGCGGCACGCGGCGAGCCCTGCGGGGACGGGGCCGGACAGCTCGTTCTTGGACACGTTGAGCACGGCGAGCCGCGGGAGCGCGCAGACGGCGGGGGAGAGCGCTCCACCGAGGCCGAGCCCGTGGAGCGTGACGCCGGTCACCTCACGTGCCAAGGAGCAGGCAATGCCTGCCCACCCGCATGGGGTCGCCGCGTCGTCCCAGCTCGAAAGGCGCCCGTCGACGTCCACCAGCGCGCGCTTGAACTCCCGCAGCGCCGCCGCCTCGGTGGCGCGACCACTCGCCTTTTGCTCCGCTGCTGCCACAGCCGAGCTCACGACGGCAAATAGAAGAATCTTGAGCAAGAAATGCGCCACGGTCGCCATTGCCGTACGCGAGAAACAAACCCAACCCAAACTCAGGCAGGAGCTCGGGCCTTGGGCAGCACAGCGGAACACTTACTAGACTAGGGCTCCGCTTGGATTAGCGTTTGGCCTCTCAATACCCCTGTAAAAACGATACAGACCTCTAGGCGTCGTTTTTTCTCCCGGCGAAACTCACGCTGCGGCCGGTATAATACAAGTGTATACAAAATCCGGATGTAATATCTTACACCGAATCCAAGCGGGCCCTAGACTGGCGGCAAGAAACAGAGTGCCATGGACCTCCTTCCCCACCCACTATCACTCTGCCACCAGGAAACAGCAGGCCATGGGCGAGGTGTGTGGCACTGGTCACTGGTCGCTCCCGCAAGCGCAAGCGCAATATCTAGTGAGTGGGAGCTGCAGGGGAGGGAGGCAGTAAGCAGAGGAGTGAAGCTTTAAGGGCGGCGTGCAGGTGCACTGTGCTGTGGGCGCATGGCGATGGCATTGACCGCTGGCATTTCCCCGAGCAGGTGGTGCGCGGAGCCGGATCCTCTAAGAAAGTCACCGTACTATAGTGCTAGTCTAGTGTAAATTTAAGAAAGATTGTTAGGGATCGTTAGCAGGTTGTTTACTGTTGATATTTACTGTAGATATAAATAATTCAAAATTAATTTTTTTCATCATCAATTTGTTTGTATATAATTACTATAAATGTACATAGTAGATCATCAATTTACAAGTTAATTTAAGTCACTTAAACCTTAATCATATGGATATAAAGAAGGAAAGTTAGGGTACTGTAGCTTCTTTAACATTCCTTGTGAATGTTAGAGGATCCGGTCCCGTGGTGCGCGGGGAAGGGCGTGGGGACAATTGCCTCGCTCTGAACACGATGACGCGTAGACGATAAAGTAGACTTGTTGCAGTAAAGTACGTGTGTTCGTGTGAATTACGGATCGCCCGCTAGCCAAAAGCGCCGTTTTGGTTTGGCAAAAAGAGGTGTCGTTAACGTAAGAGCATCTACAACCAGACCCTTTAAAATCCGTCTCAAACATTCGGGTAGCCCGCCCGGTCACGATTCTCTGACCCAGACGGTCCTGTCAGACGGTCCTTAAATGTCTGGGCTGTCCGGCACCCTTCATATCTAACCCAAATATGAGGTCGATACGGCGCCCCCGCCACGTCGAATCCGACAACCCGACCCCATTCTAAATTGCACCAAATCCCCCTCCACCCAGCTGCCGGATCCATTTGTTGTCTCCTCTGTTATTCTTCCTCCACGCCGTCCGGCTCACAGCTCCACCGCCGCGCCCGCTCGCAGCTCCGCATGTGTTATTCTGCACAATATGATTGTCGAGGATGAGGATGATGGTGTAGTCCAAACCCATGATTTCGAAGCACCCGGAGAACAAATTGAAATCCCAAAAGATCAAGATGCGGCTTAGCTCATGAACTTTCTGCAGATGCATCAGAATCTTCGAAATCAGTAGGTGCACACGTAGCTATTCAATGATCTTGTGGAGCACATGTGGATCCACAATGGCAACCAAGGAGACAATGCTTGAGTTTGGCACTTCAAATAAATTTAATGTAAACACTATGTATGCTTGATACCAACATTTGTTATTTACGTGTGATATTGTGGTGCATGATCGACGTGCATGTATTTGCATGTATTTGAGATATGTGGATGCACGAAAAAAAATATGAGGCCGTTTGAGGGACCAGATTTGCTAAGTCCGGTTGTAGATACTCTAAGCACTTTTTTTTTTTTGCGATGAGTTAACATAAGCACTTTGTGGCTAGGATTACGTGTGTTTTATCTCGTACGTTCTTCATTTCTTAGGGCTTCGAGATTTTGCATGCACTCCCACTCAACTATTAGGACGAGCTGGCCTCTTCAAGTTATAGAAGCATGCTATGATTCATATTTTGGTTGGGAAGAATTTCAAATGAATCCAAGGAATACAGCAGATGTAGCTATTAAGAATGATAGGTCAATAATAACATCGATTGGATATCACAATAGTGCAGAGGCCGGGTCTATCCCCTTTTCAAAAAGAAACCGAGACTGTTCGGTGATCTTTCAGTTATTTCACCGATACTGGCGATAGCGTTTGAGAGTATCTTTGCGTTTCACGGAATTCACGGAAACCATTTTCTTAAAGTGTTTACTTTTCAATCATATCTTTGGCCAAGTAGCTAGCTACCTGTCATTTCATCTCCACAGCTCGGTTGCTAGGTTCATGTGGTGTCGGCTTGAGTTAGATCCACCCCCTAGCCCTAGCTAGCTAGCCTGGCCATCACAATAGAGCCAGCCAAATTTTACATCACATCATATCGCACACTAACCATGAGCATTTCACAGCGATCGCATCAGGCAGTGTCTATAATTTTCGTTTCAACATCAGGTACTCCATCCGATCGCATCAGGCAATAGATAAAAGAGGATGTATCTAGATGTATTTTAGTTCTAGATACATCTTTTTTTATTTATTTTGATGACAAGTATTTTCGGACGGAGGGAGTAATAATTAAGCTACGAAATTCAGATTCTTCAAAGGAAGAAATCCTGTTGATATCTTTAGCACATCTTGAAACTAGTGTCAAAAACACTTTTATATTACAGGGCGGATGGAGTATATGTTTTTGACCGAGTCAGTCATCTGAAATAAATAAGCGTATGAAAATATGTGCTGACATACCAGCACACATCACTGGTTAGGCCAAAAACTTTTGTGCCATGCATGCAGATAATTCAACAGCCGATATGCTCTATATAGAATCAGTATAGATCGAGCACGTACACATGCAGGGTAGGCATCTTGTTTGTTTAGTGAGGTCAATATATATCCAACGTTCTGCATGAATTCGGCCTTCGCAGTAGTAGTCTCCCGTTCGGCCAAATATACCTTGTCTGTACATGCAAAGAAAGTTAGGCCCTCGGCAACCAAGGTATATTCTATGTGTGCTCCAGAGTATGTGAAACCTAAATAAAGCTATCGAATCAAGAACAAGAACACAGTGATGTTTTTCTCCCGAATACAGACGAAATGTCTGATCATAGCATATCTACGGCGGCAGATAAATTAGGCCACTAGTTGTATGGAGGCCATGCCTAACAATGTATGGCTATGGATAGATTAGAGATGAACAGTGTGCCTAGGTATAAAGTAAAGTAAAATCATCTTCTTTTTTGAAAATAAAGGCAAAATTATGAAGCGTGCACTGTTTTCCTGCCGAAGCAACGACGGACAATGTTCAATGCAAGTTGCCAAAGAAACCTCTCCTTTGCCTGTTGAATGTTGCCACTGACTATCTCACCGGGGATGTCCACTAGATCAAGATCAGGTGAGTGCCCGGCACTCATCTATTGCGAAGAATTATTTTCTCCACTGCGTGTGGCATTTGTACTTCATATGATGTAACCTCAGAGGCAGCTGTGCATTCAAGCCTTTCTCCCGCGCAGGTTACCTCTGACTTAATCCCTACGTCCCATAATATAAGAGCGTCTTTTTACATTACTAGACGCTCTTATATTATGAGACGGAGGGAGTACTTTGTTTCATTTCCGATTGGATCTTTGCAGTATAGAAATGTCCACCGCGAAACCCTTGATCCATGCTTAGTTGGAGCCAAGCTTTCTCCAACCCCTTCAGAAGGCTGGGTGGCAAGCTTAAGCGCACGATGAGTAGATTTTCACAATGGACCCACAGATTTGTTGGCAATATTAAGTTCCAAATCCGGATCACGAATGAGATCATGCTACGGCTTATGTCGCGATGGAGTCCATAGAGCTCTCCCTGAAGGAACATCAAAAATGCGCAGGGGCATGCACCTACGAAAATGAGTGCAGCCATTTATCACGCCCAATATGCGACCCTATCCAAAAGGACCTCGAAGGTCCCATCAAGGATAGACCCGCATATTGAAACGCTTTTGCAAGATGGATATCATTACATCAACATTACATAATAGATGGGGATACATACAAAAGGCATACAATGTCACACCAATACAACATCACAATACATAATAGCATTATCCGGCTACGGATGAAACACAAACAGAAACTCAAACAACATCCACCCTGCTAGCCCAGGCTGCCGACCTGGAACCTATCCCCTGCTCGAAGAAGAAGCAGAAGAAGAACTTCAAAACAAGCAAACATCGGTCTCGCGTCAAGATCATCGTATAACCTGTACCTGCAACTATTGTTGTAGTAATCTGTGAGCCACGAGGACTCAGCAATTGGGTATCAAGACTAGCAAAGCTTAACGGGAAAGGAAGGGGTAAAGTGGTGAGGTTGCAGCAGCGATTAAGCATATATGGTGGCTAACATACGCAAATGAGAGCGAGAAAAGAAGCAAAGGAACGATCGTGAAGCTAGCAATGATCAAGAGGTGATCCTGAACTCCTACTTACGTCAAACATAACCCAAAACCGTGTTCACTTCCCGGGCTCCGCCGAAAATAGACCATCACGGCTACACACGCGGTTGATGCGTTTTAATTCGAATCTGATGTCAAGTTATCAATAACCGAATATTAACAAATTCCCATCTGCCACATAACCGCGGGCACGGCTCTCGAAAGTTTATAACCCTGCAGGGGTGTCCCAACTTAGCCCATGATAAGCTCTCGCGATCAACGAAGGATATACCTTCTCCCAGGAAGACCCGATCAGACTCGGAATCCCGGTTTACAAGACATTTCGACAATGGTAAAACAAGACTAGCAAAGCCGCCCGATGCACCGACAATCCCGATAGGAGCTGCACATATCTCGTTCTCAGGGCAACACCGGATAGGTCAGCCTACGAGTAAAACCAGCCCTTGAGTTGCCCCGAGGTGGCCCCGCAGTCTGCCCGGTTCGGACCAACACTTAAACAAGCACTGGCTCGGGGGGGGGGGGCTAAAATAAAGATGACCCTCGAGAGAACGACTCCCAAGGGAAAAAGTAGGTGGTGGTGAGGCAAATGGTAAAACCAAGGTTGGGCCTTGCTGGAGGAGTTTTGTTCAA